GGAGTGCCTGTTAGTGCACCAGCCTACTGCCACTGACAGGCGAATGCTTCCATCTCCACAGTAACAAGCCTATACAGTAATAGTTGGTGGGCGTGGTTATTTTTTAAATAAAATACTTGCTGTGTGAACCTGCTTTTATACAACATGGTTTAATGATTTTTTTTCAAATGTTTTTTAATCAGCCAGGTCATAATTTTTGAATGAATGAATATTGCTGCTGATGTTTTTTTCAAATGTCTTCTTTTGTACCATAAGGTCATCTAGTCACATTCTATTTAAAAGACGTGGATATCACTACAGACGATCTTTATAACTGGGAAACTCAAACACTCCAGACGGACAAATAGCACTTTGTTCCCAAGGAAAAAAACATGTGGTTTTTGATTTTGGGGTCAACCGTCCTTTGAGCATTACGTTGATGATGATGATGAAATTTGTCTTTCCGATGTATTAGTCAGCTGTCACATAATTTATCTGGAATAAGCTTATATTTAAAGTGCATTTTAGTTTGGGATCATTTAGGATTCATTGTTCTCTATTTACCCTCATATAGTCACACCCACACAAATTCAAATACATGCTCATACCCTGCACTGAACATACAAACACACACTGTGCCAAACTATGTCTTGGATATCCGTGTTGACATGTGTATGTGGATTCCTGCTGCACGGATGAGCACTCAGCACGAAACATGCACACATACCAAAGTCACTCTTCCCCTTGTGATGTTGTTTTCCTCCATCCTCTTCTCTGTGATCTCTCTCTATGATTGTCGCAGGCGTCTCAACAACAATGACCTCTCCGTGCTGGAGGCCACAGGAGCCTTCAAGGGCCTCTCACAGCTTAAGAAAATGTAGGTCACCATGAAAAATGACAAATACTGTGATGAATGGCTGCTCCATCTTCAAAAGAAACTTTCAAGAGATCTTATCTTCTGGCATTTTCCAAGACCTTAGTGGGAAAAGGGGTTTGGAGAAAACTGTACTTTGCATGACTGGATGTTATTAGAGAAAATGCACAGCTTCATGTAGAGTGAAAACACTGGACACATTTTCAAAGTAGTAAAGGTACTAAAAGTTGTGTGAAACTTTTAAGGCTGAATGATCCTGCTCAGTTGGGTTTCTGGCAATGCTGTGAATCTGAACGAGCTGTCAGGAAGCAGCTGTTATGTTGTGTGTTATCCTT